ACGTTAGCTTGGTGGGGAAGTTTGAAGATCGGGATATCATTCTCGTCACTTAACCAACGTTAATAGCTCCACGTAGTTTAAAATTATGACGATAATATAATTCTGCGATATTCAACCTGCGGCCCACCGACCCTTTTTAAGTCACCCTGTCATGGCCGATTGCTCTGAGGAATTTACTTATTTAAGAACATTGTATTAAAAATTTGGTGGAAAATCCTTTGTCAAGTAATCAAATATATCAATTTTGCTTTTTGCTGTCGGTGTCGCACGGGTACGAATTGATATCCTTTTTCTATTTGGAATGGTTACGGTTAGTGATAACAGACAACAGTGGAGTAGAGACCATTATATGGGCGGAACTAATTTTCAACTATCTCTCATATCTTGCAAGTGAAAAATATTCGAAGAAAATAGATCGTTTTGAGATGATTGGGAGGTTGACTATTTTATGGTGAAATGCAAACATGGATAAGTAATTGTTTGATTTGTCATGAAAGTGCTGTATTTAAAAAATACCAATAAACAGGAATGGTTCAATACCACTTTTCCTCGAAGATCTCTTTCAAGAGATGATAAATAGGTTTTCTCTTGAATAATCTTTGCAACAGCAACAAAGTGTTTCACCAGTGGTAATATCACAGTGGTAACAAAGACATCCCATGAAGTTCGTTATATTATTGGTAATCATATGAAACCTACTACTCATGCAGAAATTGTGAAGGAGTGTTTTTTAAATGGTTCTAATTTAGTGTTAGTGACAAAAGTAAAAAAATAATTAAAAAAAGCAAAGCAGGAGTTATAATATTTTGATCAATTTTCCACATTTTAAATTTCCAACGTTATCTCGGTCTTAAAGCAGCCCCCCTCCCTATTTATCCTCATATTGCGGCCCGCGTGAAAAAAATTGCCAAATATTTGCGGCCCATCAGAAAAAAAGGTTGAGTACCCCTGATATAATTCATTTACATTCAAGTATTTATTCATCATTGGGTTCAAATGGATACTTAATATTTAAATATTTGAAGAGAGGTGCCAGAGAGTTTCATTACATTTTATATAAAATAAATGCCCTTTTGAGGAATTAATATTATCTGTGTGATAAAAGACATTTTAAGTCATCCGATATTCTTATTATATATTTTTTTAAAGTTTTCGAATCCAATGAAGACTTATTTGCTTAGAGTAACAAATCTACACCACATAATTAAAGAAAAAACATGCATAAAATCTGTTGTAGAAGAACCCTGTTGAGTTCTCTAAAATATTATTAACGTAACTAAACCTGAACGTGAAAAATTTACTTAAATTAATACATCCCATAAGTTATTTGATTCATCTCTATAATGTAAAACACTATTAAATTAAATTTTTTTCCTATCAAAGTATATGGTTTAAAAGAAGAAAATATTGCTGTTACGAAATTAAATTATTTTAATGAATTGTAGGAATTATCTCAAAATATTGAAGTAAAATAACTATGTTTTCGGAGATAAAATTCATGCAATCTATATTCATTTGCTATTTGAAGAAATAATTGGTAAGATTTCTTTTAATGGATTCTAATTCCAGGTAGCAGATGAATTTTATAAATTTTTTTGTAGTTAAATAAATACTTATTGTTAGCAAATAGAGAATTCATTTTAATTTGATAAATTAATCAAATAAAACGGAAATGCAACGATTAATCTATGAAACGGAACTAAACGGGGGTTTAACGGACAGCTTAAGGAAATAAAATATAAGGGCTCATTTTCTAGTTTTCATTATTAAAAGAATCAAAGTTATTTATTGCGTGTCAATATGTGTTTTTGAACTTTCTCTGATGTTTGGAAGGCAGTCTCTTAAATCAAAATTTAACATAGTTGAGAGAGAGATAGAGAAGTATGGTATTTTTTCCATAATATATTTTTATTCTATTAGTTTATTTCATTAGGTTATTTCATAATTAGATCTTGTACATTTTATAGAATCTATGGTATTTGCTAAACTTTCGAGCTTCCGAAGAACTTTTGACTACATAAACATCTTTAGTCTTTATATAATTATTTTTAAAGACAAAAGGTAGATATTTAATTTTATTTTGACAATTAAAACTTAGTGTTTTTGACTTAAAAAATGTGTTTTTTAGCAACATTACAATATTGTTTTTTTGAAGCATGTGCAGAATACAGTCACTTAACTTTTCAGTGATTAAGAGTTCATTTGTAACATCTTTTTATGTTTAAAAAACATATGTATCATAATGGAAGCTCAAACTTCTCTTGCTACAGTACAAGGATCTTTAAAACAATTCAAAAACAGGCTCATTAAATCTGTGTTTTATTTATTTATCAATGCATATTTATCGTTTCAGAAATAAATAAGAAATATGTGATACCCTGTGAGCTGGGGGTATCATCTCTTCATTATCCACGCGACCTATATTTGAGGAAATGAAAGATTGACCACTAATACCTTCCATAATTAAAATTAGTTAATTATGATTTCAATTTATATTCAATAGAAGAACACTAGTCTAGGAGGCTTAGGATCAGGAGTGATGAAACAAAAACTGTAATTCTAACCAATAGCGCAATAAACCATTGAGTCTATATTTTTAGACGATTTCCTAACTTACTAGAATCCGCTTTAGTCTTAAAGCCTAATCTGAATTATCTTACCGCTATTCCATAGCGAACAGCCTCAATCCTTATATCATCAATATATTCTTTGATCCAACTTCATCTGGCTAAGGAATGATCTTCTGGTCTCGGACCCACTTAGAAATAAACTCCACTGACACTATTAGACCGACTCATAGAACTATCTTAGACTCTTCTTCTAGAACTTCACCTAGAGCTTAACGCGAATACTAACGTTCCAATATATACAATTCCTAATCTGCATAACCGTGTACTTTTCTCGGGTTGGTTGAAAAGAATTGCCATTCTGGCCCCAAAGATATCCCAAGAGGATTATTAATAGAAAAGTACCTATAAGGCCCCGTTACAAATATTACTAAGTATTTTATCATTTCAAGCTATTAAACATTATATTGAAAACATTTTTATCACAGAAAATAAGATATTTGTTAATTATAACAGGCTAATATTCAGAAGCTTGCGTGAGAAAGAGATAGAAAAAAAAGAGAAAAAGAAACAGAAAGATAGAGATAGAAAGAGGAAGAGATAAAAGAGTAAGAGAAAGAGAGAAGAAAGAGAACGCAAAATTGTTGATTGCATATAACCATTCATTAAGTATACTGGAAAAATGTATGGCAATTTATGTGGTTCCGGTTTGACCGCTTTTGATGCACTTCAGCATGGTAACAAAGTTATTCTGACATAAAAAATGTTAACATGTATTTGTTTGAATGAAAATGTAATATTATATAAAATGTTATTTTATTTAAATTATATGTTGTTCACGGATAATAACATTTAATCAAACTATATATTTTTTCAAGTAATTATTTCTTAAGAGGGCTGAGGTGACTTAAGAATGGTTTGATTCTGAAGTTAGTAAAAAGAAGAAATATATAAATCAATATATTTGAAAAAAAAAACAAAAAAAGAAACACTAAACACATTGATTGTTATTTCCATACGGTTTCTTAAAAAAGTGTTCTCCGACCCTCTTTGAAATGGACTATAAAAAAAGAGATATATCTACTTCTAATTTATATATTATTTAAAAATTTACAGTTAAATATTATAAACTCACAAGTACTAAGCGTAAACAATATTTATCAAAAAAAAAATATGAAGAATTTCATTCATTCATTGTAAGGATGTCTTTTATCATTCATGTAAAGACTATATTGTGTGAAGAATGATGTATACACTATTTATTTAATGGATATATTATTTTTATTTCTAGGCAGATTATGAGCAGTTATTAACAGAGTTAATCAATCTACCTAGTACATCACCGAAAGTAGCTATCTCTTTTTAGTGTGGTGCCATATAGGCGGATACCAATCACTGCAGGTAATTTTGACGCCCAGTTTCCTCCCTAGAGGTAAGTACCTGAGCTCTGACAATGTGAACCTGTACTAGGATACTATTTTCCCTAGAGCACCTGCCTAGGGATCCTTTATACATGTCGTATAATCCTACGATATGGTCTCTGTTGATTTCCTGCATCATGAAAATCCATCGACTTAGGCCGGGGTCGAACCTGCAACCTTGGGTACAGAAGGCCAGTGACAAACCAACCAACCAACCCAGCCGACATTCAATGAATATTAATTATCTTTTATAAGCCTTGCCTCCTATTTTTTATGTTTTTCAATAAGTATTTGAGTATTAATTCAATAAATATTTTAAAGTTATTACTTATCTTACATATGCATTATAATGATGCACTTAAAAAGAAGAATATCTCTAGTATCATATTTATAGTATAATTGACTTATTTCTCAACAGCCTGCTAAAATTATTCAAATTGAATTCTAGACTTTTATCTGCATTTTAAAGACTCTGTACATTCGTATTAATTTGCTTTGACAAATTTTTTGTTGATAATTCTTTAAACATTTTATAAACAAGAGAGGATTAGATTTCAAAAGATAAGAAAAATTTACTCGCTATGTGAGTTGTGCATAATATCATCATTATCCCAAATAAGGTCACGAAAGAAATAATTACCACTTCAGATTTTTTATAAGAATTACTTCGGAACTGTGTGTGTGAAAATTTTTTTTTCATTTTAAAAATATCCGAATGAAATTTTCTTAAATCTTTGACTCTGTTTTTATATTTCCATAAGTTTCTTATGACTTTTTAAATTCCTATTATTAGTTCACGATCTCCCTATATATATAAAGATATATATTGTTTAAATTCTTAACGTTAATAAAATAGTTTTTATTCATACAATTCAAATACCTTTTTTTTAAACTTGTAGTCGATGAAACTTGATATTAATACAATTTCTTCAAGTATTAATTAATGAACAATAAGAAACAAACGGCAAATAATAGTCTAACACCATGTATAAAAAGGAAAATCACTCGTTGTGTCCCTGTAGCACAATGGGTAGTGCGTTGGACTTCCAATTCAAAGATGGTGGGATTGTATCCCATTTCGGATGGCCGAATTTCTGAAAATGTGATTTCGTTTTGCTATACTATTTTGTTGCAATAATTTAAATAACTAATAGTAACAAACAAAAATAATAGTCCAACACCCTATATAGAAAAGAAAATGGAAAATTGTAATGGAAATCTCTTTCTATTTTGCTACTTAATATTGTGATTATGTCATATGTATATGCATATTTACATTAATTGTAATTATTTAATAAAGAGTATTTGGAATAAAATTTTTCTTTGTTGACCAAGTAGGAATTGCGTGTGTGTGATTTAACTTTTTTTGTATTATTTGCAATTTTTCTTTCTCCAATTATGGTGCCTTGCTTTCTGTATGACAATAGTAGCATGGGGATCGACTGTGAAGAGTTCTGAAGTCATTTGCTGTTTGGTCCAAATAATGTGTTCTCTTTCCCTATGTTAAGAATGGCTTCTTTGCCATCGACTTAGACACACACCAAGAATCACCCTACATAGACTCAGTCCTTCATCGAAAAGATACATGCGTAACATGTTGGCAGAAGTTGTTCCGGTTGAGCACATTGATACAGGAAATGAATTAAGGTTCCTATTCATTTTTGAGGCTGACATTTTGTACTGAAATGATCTCTCTCCAAAACACTACGAAGAACATCTAGAAAAATCAGCTGATGTGTGTGTGATAACCCTTTTTCCATCCATCCGATTCCTCTTCATTTTAACAAATGAAGTAAGCTACTTCTCTCTTAAATATGGCGAGTGAGTGAATATTAACGTCGTACTGTTCAGCTACACGAGGGCTTTTGACGACGGACCACGTAATTTTGAACCATGTTCAAGTGCCGTGGACGATACCTGAGCTGGCATTCCCCTCTCCTAACTACCACACCACACCAACGGGAGAACGTTTCAGCTCTCGACAGATTTAGCGTGCCTCGGTGCCCCTACACGGCTAGTCTTTAGTGGTACTGGGTTCGAATTCGTCACAAAGCCAGCCACGATTCGATACCTATACCATTCGGCTACCGCGTCTACCTTAAATATGGCGAACAATTATTTTTAATGATTCTAAATTAACGTGTATAAAAGTGTATATATATATTAAATAAAGTATTAAGAAAAGTGTGTATTTGAAATTTCTTTGGCCTGCCATGCGTGTCCAGTTCTTAAAGTATAATTGCGAATGTAATTGTTTCATAAAAAGTCATTGAATTTAACACTTCAATTAATTCAACTATATGATATTCTTTACCTTTAATTAGATTTATTTATATAATGAACACAAACAAAAAAGGTTTTACCTTAACTTTTGGAGATCAGTGTGATTTAAAAACGGAAAATGATTTAGAAGATTCTTCAAAATATCGATTTTGTTAAAAGTTTTTACCAAATTAAAAAACAAAAGAAACATATCACATTTGCGTTATTCCTATTTTATTTAAATAATTTGATGTGCAATTTTTTGTAAACCTTATACAATGTAATATATTTATTTAAAAGAGATTAAAATAGTAAATACTGTGTGTATGTGCAACACTTCAAATACGTAGAGAGAGAGAGAGAGAAAAAGGATGCAAGCTATACTTCATATTTATAGTAAATCAAAGCAAAAAGATTAATTAACTTTAGATTTCATGTGTCAGAATTAATAAAAATATTATAGAGGTAATTAAAAGGTTATTAAGAATATACTCAGTTTAACCAAAGTGATTTTAGTAACACGACTCTTACAATGAAATATAAAAAAGATTATACAGTTGAACCTGTTTTTGTGCTGTACATGGGGACCGCATAAAAATAAACGCAAAAAAAAAATATTCAAAATTTTCCTAAATTCTTACATATAACAAAATGATTTATGGAAGTACTACAAATAACTTTTTTATGCAATGGAGAGGGACCGCATAAAAAAAGTCGCATTTACAAAATATGCCAATTATTTACGAAATTTATGTAAGAGTACTTCCATAACAAAAAAAATAGTTAAATATTACACATGGAAACATTTTAAAAACACATAGTTCCTCATTGTATATACGAATACGTTTTCAAAATGCATGTACATAATTCATTGCTACTCATCGTAATCCAAAGCCCTGTGATGAATAAGTTCAAAATAGCTTTCATCACTTGAAGGTACAATTTCAATTGATTTATTTTTTTGGCAACATAAAGTAAGAGATAAGTTTTTGAGATGAAGTTCGGGTGGTTAGTTGCTTGTAAATATCACGATAACCAGATATACATGATTGAAGCCCTTTTTTGGAATTTTAAACTCCTTTCTTAATTGGTATTTATTTGAAGAAAATGCTTTTCCTATTTGTTGGAAGATTGGATCCATGCATATTTTTATCAGTTCTCAAAGAATCCGGTTTATCTTTTCCATCTTCATAATATATCAAATTATTGATAATGTTACTGTCAATGAAGTTTCCTTTTCAATCAAGCGTGGGCTGCTGGAGCGTTGATAGAAAGTAACTGGATGCGCATTGTCGGGAGACTCGTTTATAACAAATGAACAGAGCGTCTTGAACTGTCTACATTTCAGTGGCGTAACGTACACCCCCGCGTCACGGGGGGGGGCAGAAATCTAAGGGGCCAAAGGCCTAACTTACGTTAAACACGTATTTACTTAATTTATAAAATATTATAGGCAAAACCTGACTTTCAGGGGCACACATGATCCTTACATTCTCCGTTATGCCACTGGTAAATAGACAGAAAACATAACAGTGGCGCAAAAGCCTTTGAAATTCATACATCACAAAAGAAAAAGATCGCACAGAAAAATTGCACAGAACAAATCGCACAAAAATAAAATCGCATAAAAAACCCGCACAAAAACCAGTTCTACTATACTAATAAAAATGTGATGCACTTTTTTAATTCTAACAAGAATATTCTTTTTGAGATGCATTTCACAAAACATTTATGCGTTAAAACTCATTTAAAGTGAGCCACAAGACAAAGTCAATAATGCGTATAATGACTGCAGCTTAGTTTTTAACTGCAATAAGGAGTAGCTATCCCATCCATCGACATCCATTTTGACCCATTTTTTTTACAAACCATGTACCGAGCTTAATACGGAAGGCAAAAATACACAACAGAAATTGACTTTGAATATATTTAAGAATGAAATAAAAATAATAAGAATGAATAGAGAGAACACGAGAAAGAACACTCATACACATTTACAAAAACTGTAAATTCAATCGCTTTGACAAATCTTTTCTTCTCTTTTAAAGTTATTTTTCTAACTCTTATTTCCTGATTATGTACAAAAGTCCCCGAGGGAACTAAAATTATCGACATACCGACAAATTAAAAGATGGCCGAGTTAAAAAGAGAGATGGTTATAAAGAGAAGCGAATTAAGTGTCTTTGAAATTTAATTGCATTAGCAGGATAAAGTCATTAACAATTTTCAAAAGGGAAGACTGGCATACATTCAAGAGAATCGGTACTTTTCATTTCTTTCCTGAAATTTTTATTAAAATGGTTGAACAATCTCTACACTTGTATGGCACTGATATTAACGAGAAAGGAGTAGGGTTCTTGGTAAACGTTGATGTGAATTTGGGAAGCAAAATAATTAGTTTGTTCTGAATAAATTAGTAAATAATATTTCATAACTGTAAAAATAATTGGAGGAATCGTAAGAATATATTCAACGAAGTAGTATGAATAAGATATGACTTGAAGTTATTTTTGTTCTCATTCAAGAATTGATTTATTTAAATTACTCTTTTTAGGGTGTATTATTATATAGCGAAAATAAATCATCCACAAAAGTTTTGTTATGAAGCTAATTTTTTATCAGCATATGAAGTAAATAGTCTCAGTTTTTATATGCATTCTAGTTTTTATAGGAAACTTTTATACTTATTTAGTTATCTAATCCAATGACGTCAAAAGAGTATTGTCTGTACAAATGAACAAATGACAGGATGTGTAACTGCTTCTACATTTAACTAGATGAATTTTTTGGAGAGACGTAAATAGTGAGAGGCTAAGTAAAAAGAAATTTGATGTTGAAGGAATTTAAAAACTTTAGTAATAAAAAAATGCGGTATACTAATTAGTAAATAAAGTAGTAGTAAAGCATCTCACTTTAAAATAGCTTAGAGCAAAACTTTTACTAATATCAAATGATAGGTAAAGTGCCTCTACTTGGGCTGATTAAACAATTTGCAGCATATTAGATGACTACAACATTTAAGCTTGGTACAATGAATACCAATTCCCTTCGGATGTGACTTGAATTTACGGATCAAGTGAAATTAATATATTTAATACAAATCAAAAGAAACTAAGCTGCTATTTAAGCAACTAATTGCTATTAAGTTGATGATAACTCAATAATGGCTTGGTGTTTTGTTTATTTGGCATGTGTGGTTCCTCTAATCATGCAAAATTTATTAATGATTTGGGATCATTATTTGCTGCTGCTTAGTGAAAATCTACAATTTTTCTCTCGAAAAAAAAATGAGACAATGGTTTACGACGGTTTATGTCATCACTTGTTTATTAATTATTTGTTCTAGAGGATTCTTTATAATATGCTTATAGACTTACTTAATACAACCAACACGGTGAAGTCGATAACTGAGCTAACAACAATCTGTTTCCAAATTTACGTTAAGTGGGTTCTGCACATGAATTTTCGTAAAATTATCAGTTTTCACTTTTTTAAATATTTTTTATAAGTTCAAACACTTCTTTTAAAAATGATGCATGATATGAGAAAATACGATAATTTGAAGTATTTTTATTTATTTTTTAAAAGGAAGCTACTCCTTGACACGCTTCAAATGAGCTTTGCTAGGAGCACGCACCTGTGCTTCCCCTTGCATAAATTTCTGATGAACGCGAATCCCTATGACTGATTATTTATTAATTTTACACACACACACACACACACACACACACACACACACACACACACACACACACACACACACACACACACACACACACACACACACACACACACACACACACACACACACACACACACACAC